AGAATGTTATCTTTGTTAAATGTATGCTTCCTGTTCTTGTCTGTATGTTATTTATTATGTGTTCTTCAAATCTGGTTAATAAGTTTTTTGTTACAGTATATAATTAATTTAATTTTTCTGGTAAAATAAGTTTTGGGTGCAAATTGTGATCTGGATGGTCCCCTTTTCAAGATCTTGCCTTGGGCCCACTAAATCTAGGGCCAGCCCATCATTCAACTTCAAATGATCATTCAAAATAATTTCAAAACTTTTAATGTCCAAAATGTTTATACAGTACTCTTTTTAAAAATGCACATCTCTTGGAGCTCTCTCTTTATATGGAATTTCCAAGTACAGCAACACCTTGAAGAGCTTGTTTTTTCACAGTCCTGCAGTCCCACATATCCAAATAAGTCACTCGCTGGTTGTCATCGCATCGATATCAGAAAACCCCAGCAAAGTCAAACTCAACAGCTTTATCAAGAATTGACCTTCTCGGAAAGCAAGCAGCAACATTTCACAGTGTTTCCAAAAGATAACTGGCTTTAATCACGTAAAACCCCTGCTTTATCTGTCCCTCTCCTAATACAAGAGTCTTAAAAAAATCCTTCAAAATCGAACATACTACTATACAAATATGAACAGCCATCATTGCGAACAACAAACATTGGCATTTGTTTTTTCAACACTTCTGAAAGTATTCACTAGGAATGAGAGTGAGAGGCAACAGCAACATTAAGTGGGCACAAACCTGCCCTCTTTAGAAAAATAATGAATTTCTACTCTCAAAATATAATTAGTTATACTGGAACAAATGCCTGTGTAAAATACAGTTAAATGGTTATCATGCTTAGTTAAAATATTACAACACAGTCAGCACACTCATATTTAATTTGAGTATATTTCCTTTTAAGCTATGGTAAACTCTGCTGTTTTTTAATAATTTCCTGGCTAGGCACTGTGATTACCAAGAGTAGGTCAATTGAGCTCTTATAACCTGCGCAAACATCAACTGACCATTCTGCATTTACACAGCTTTAACTAAATCAAATCTAAAATGAAACCATTTGTTTACTCTGATGAGATTTAATTTAGTCTGTCTTTTCAGCTCTGAGATCATTTCTTCAGGTGCCTTCTAGAGCAGGAATGTCTGCTTTGCAACACAGCCCTGAAGGGGAAGATGGAAACTTCTGAAAGATATCCTAAAGCTGGCCAGAGGCTAGATTCACAGCGTGATCAAGTCCAGAATCTCAATGTTTCTGGGACAAAAAACACTGAGACAACAGGATCTGCATCGCCCCTAGCTTACAGAAAGAAATGCCACCTTTTCCTAAAGTCTCAGCCACAGAAGACAATATAGCCTAGTCTTGGTACTGTAAATCAACAGATGAATCAAAAAGGCGTTAAAGGAAATTCTGAATTGCAATAACTGGAGATACAGTATGGTGGTGCAGACGCCACGAAGAAAGAGAAACACACTGAGCAACACCAGTCCTAGATGCAGGGAGAGAGCCATTGGCATGTAGGCTTAGCCTTGGTCTGACACTGACAGGAAAGAGAGTACACAGGTGAAGCCCTGATCCACCCTCCGCAGCAGCTACAGACCCCAGCCAACACCGAATTCAGAATGAACAGCACCCTGTGTCCAGACCACTTCGCGTAACCTGCGGCGCAGAATGTGGCGGGAGACCACTGGCGCAAAGCAATGAGCTTCCTGTGACCGTGCCAACTGCAAGAGCTTGGCGTCGCCTCAGGGTACCTGAGCAGAGAAGACACGGCTAGACTAGCCTCTGAGACTGTGCCCTAGCTGGGCGAGGAACAACTGAGGCTCACAAAATTAGAAAGACAGATACAGACCTACTGGTAATAAGCTGTGCATGAATAAGTCATGAGGAAAAGGGGACACTAACTCCTTGGATAATTGTGTGTAACTCTACACTAAAAGAACTGTTTAAACAACAGGTCCAGTCCAACAGTTCAGCACGTTTTCCTGGGCTTAATTGGGAAATAAAACTGGCCACTATCATTAGTTAAATATTAGGAGAAATTATTCTGATGTACAATTTAGATTAGTTTGTTTTAGAATGAAACTCCTTTGAGGTTAAACAATTATTCTTAATTTTGGTTGTCAATTGGTACACTTAGGCACATAGCTAGTAGCACATTTGATATTCTGCAAAATTAAAGACAAAAACAAATTACATGAATCAGAAAATCTTCCTGAATTCAAAAGACACTGAGCAGACTAAAAAGTCACTTTTTATAGAGTAGAAACCTTTATTCAATAAACAATTGAAAATAAGATCAATAGGAAGGCCTATTGAAGGGAGCAGAAACAAAGCCTGTCTTATATCTAGATAATATAGGAGCAGACCACAAAAAGGATGCTGATAACATTATAAAATATACATAGCTAAGCGAAACCCAAACCTCCCGCCTTTAATTGTCAACAAGTAAAAAACACAGCGCACAGCCCCACAGAGGGGTCTGTAAAAGAGGAATATAGGAAGTGCGCCCAGTCTTTGCACATTCACTCCCAGCTCTGTTGCACAACAGCTGCAGTCATGTGCTCCAAGGCATACTATTTCAATTTTACCCAATTTTGTTATTTGATCAGTATCTAAAAGCACACAGACAAGAAGAGTATTTAAAAAGAATTCCTTTCCTCATAGGGGAGATGAAACGGTTCCTGTACTTTCTATCAGCTGTTAGTGATGGGATGATAGGTATTGAGATATGAAAAAAACTGAAATCAAACAGTTTATTAGTACTTACTATTGTCATAGTCTTCATCATATTTCTTAATTTAGTACAAAAAAACTCTGATAAATCTTTAAACACAGTGGTGAAGAGCCACCAAAGAGTGACAAAGCAAATCCCCTACCTGCTGTGATCAAGTGTGTAAATATCTTAAGCACAAGCACAAATACAGAAGGATATAATTCAGCAAAACCTGATTTATTATTCATATACGAGCATGATGACTGTTGATCCCTTCAAGAACAATAAGAACAAAAAATGAAACTACAGTAACTCTGTATTTACTACACTCTGGGTTAACTTTCACTCAACCATACACATTCCCCTAAGAAACAAAGGAGACTGTAAAGATAACTCTAAGAAACTAAGATAACAGAATACTGTACAACAGTAATACGATTATTGAATGTGAGCAGCACAAATAACTAGAGGAGGGCTATCCAGTGCTGTTCCTGGAGGGTCCTGTCCAGCAGGTTTCATAGACCTCCTGAAATTGTCAGCACTGTAAGAACTGGAACAAAAAGTGAAGTACACAGTTTAACTAACTCTAGGCTTAAATAAAGTAGTTAAAAGTAAACTTTGGGTGTAAAACTGCAAACAACACAGTCCTCCTTAGTCAGGACTGGATATCCACACCAATCCAAACCATCGTGCAAGAATGTTTCAGTATCTTATAGAGAAGCAACGCTGTTATTTTAGAGGAGACAGACACGTGATTTCTCTGCTGAAGAGGAATGTCTCACAATTGATTAATTTTTACTCTATGAATTAATTACATGGACTTCAACAAAAAAGAAGCAATTATAATAGCCATCAGGGTATTTTAAAATCCCACAACATAACATCGCAAACAGACATGTAGTGTCAGGACTCAACAGTGTTGATGAAAAATACTGAGCATAAACTTCCATTTTCTTTCAAACGATGTTGCATTATACTCACAATGCACATTTGCTATTAACTGCAACCATTGCAGATGCTGAGGTTTAAGTGGATTTGAACCACATTGTTTTCCACATACTGCTAGAAGGAAAACTTAGCTTGAATGATGTAATGCAGAGCCACGCAGATACAGTTAAAACGACAATCATTTTTCAGTTACATAATCCTTCCTACTTACCATGACTAAATAACACAAAGTCCACTTCTGTTTTACAAGGGACGTGCAAAAATAAAGGAGACTTTATGGTCAAAACAGAAGGGACACGATATTTGTTGTTGGTCTTTAGTAAGGTATTAAGGAACCTTGCATTCTAAATCAAATAGTAGGTCTGTCTCTCAAATACACTGGATTTAGTGGAAGAGTCTAGCCAATCTAGGAATATATATTTATATTTACATACTGTATATAATGGAGTTCTCGGTCTAATCTTCTCTAAGCTCCAAGAGCAAGCCACTAATAGGGCAGCTTTCTGCCTTTCCTTTCTTTTGATGCGCGTTATGTATATATTAACTGTTAACAATAAAAACAGTTTTTAAAACAAAATTTTGTTTAGAAAAATATTTGCCTACCGCAATAAGCATGAAAAAATGAATTACTGCAGTAAAAGCAGTCTTTCAGATGGCATTTGTCATCACAAAATATGACCCCAATCAAGCAAAAGATCCCTCATTTACAGTGCTGCCAGGCCCAGCACCAGACCTCTCTGGAGGAAAACACATTTATATGGAATACAATAAACTTTTCCATGTTTCATGTGAAAATAGAATCTTTGTCTTCTGTGTTTTACCTACACTTTTGTACGGAACGGTGAAATAAATGTAACTAAATTTAACTAAGAGCAATAGGAACTATAATTATGGTCTGATCAGCATGGTGCAAGTGGTCAGGCACATAATCTATCAGCAGGTGGCCTATCTGATCTTTCCTCTCCTCTTTAAAACACCTTAACGCTCGCAGACGCAGACACGGACCCACACTGCACGGCACAAATGGGTACCTCCCTCACATCATCATGTGCTCAGAAAGGTCGCAAAAGAGATAAAACCCTAAAGAACTACCTTCAGATAAATTAAATAGTTGATAACCAGAGAACAGAGTCATTTACTTCTCTGTCTCTGCTAGACTCCACATTTTTTCCATCTTTGAAGCCATTGTTGTGCCAACTCTGTGATGTACTAAGTGTTTATTGCAGCAGTTAGTCCGTTTCACAGCAGTTCCCTTTAGAGCTAGGACAGGTGTAGCACTGCTCTGATCTGTGATGAAGCAGAGGATACATCAGACGTGGCTCTTCTGGAAGGACATGAGCAGGTGTACTCACAGTGTGAATCACAGAGGCCACGATGTCGTGGATCTCGGTAGAAACCTGGGCGTCGCTCATGGCTGTGCTTCTGCTTCAGCTCCGTGTCGGCGAATGGAATCTCACCAGTCAAACTTTAACCCTTTTCTTTCTCACTCAGACTAAGCGGGGAGCTTTTGGGCAGCATAACCTGTGTCAAAAGAGCGAGAAAATAAAGTGAGAGTGCTGTCCTCTTAAGTGACCATCCTGATGGACATCAAGTATCGTGCAGAACAACACTACTATCTTGTGAAATCACATCATACTGAACAGTTGGTGTTCCGGCTGTGAAAAAGATCATAAAAATGGTAATACTGAGAATGTGTTACAGACAGGAGTAATAACTTTCTATTAATGCACAGAATATGTGGCACAATGCAAAGTCCTTGAGCTAATGCTGCAGGCAAGTGAAGGACTCTTACATCTCATCTATAATATAGCCACACAACTCCTACAAAGGAAAATAAATGGTGAAGATGCAAACTCCACTCAGTTGTGCCCTTTTCAGAGATGACATCAGAATACCTTCATTTTGTGGCTGATGGCCACCCAGCAAAAAACAGTCAGCCTAAAAGCTTTTAATTTTGTGCTCACATCAACCAAGGTCTTAAAGGTCACGTTGTAGATATTAATGTGGACATTAAAAGCTAAATGGAAGAGCAAATAATTTGACAGCCCTGTCTTTCCTAATGTGATAGAAGTGCTAGATGGGTAATCTATTACTGTATGTACTGTAGGGTTCACAGGTATGAACAACACCTACAGTTTTTACTGCAGGGGGGAAAGATTCTTCAGCAAGAACTGCAGTGATTTTTCAAAACCTGGAAGGTCATTAACAGCTGGTTCATGATAAAGAAACCTGCATATGTGATAAGACATGCTGATAACGGGCTGGCACAGGGGGTAGAGTACTTATTCCACATACTGTAGCAATGGAAAGAACCCTTTAGATTATGAGTTCCAGACAAGTCAGCATGACAAGTAGCAACTCGGGGCCAAAAGGACATAAGACATTCTTCATATGCAAAATCTTGATCAGATTTAATACCAAAGGACACAAAGCAAACTTTTATTTAAAATGGAGAACAGGAGGCATGTTTTATAAAACAGGATATTGGAGTCTGGAACAAGGTACTCAATTATGCTGTTGAACCTACTCCTCTGGATTCTTTCAATGGCTGGATGAGATGACAATCTTGCTCCTTTGTTTGCTCGTGTCTAAGGAAATATTACAGGTAAGCTTCAAACTAGAACGGACCATTTGAGGAAACCAGGGTGCTACTCAGCCCTAAAATGCACTACTTCCTGGAAAAGCATCTGTCCAGGGTGAGAGACAGCAAGCAGAGACAGACCCTAAGGAAATACAGGGTAGGTGGTTACAGTCTGACCATAAGGAACTAAGTGACAGGTAGACCTGGCTACTCAGAAAAGCTGGAGAGAATGACCTGTATTTTCTTCTATACTGTGACAGATACCTACATTGAGGAAGATGTCTCCGAAAATCACTGTTGTTCTCATGCTACAGAGATAAAGGTTGAAAGAGAAGAGACAGTGCACTCAGGAGGATGTATATAGACACCCATCACCAGCCAAGGGTCAGAAAGTGGTGCTGTCAGACCCACTGAAACAGTCTAGACATCCTTATCCAGTTCTGAAAATGGGAGACAAGCGGGGAATATACAGATATGAAATCAAAGCACCAAATCAGCAACAGCTACTGTATACAAATGTCAGGTGGTTTGTTCAGACCAATTTCAATGTTCATATGATTTCCACCTCCCTTGCAAAACCATTAACCACATTACAGTCCTGACTACGCATCTCCTGGGGCTTTTAGCATTCTGCAGAGATTGTGATAAATGTTTTAAAGATATTGAGAGTGAAATGAAAAGCACTGAACCCTGCAGCCCCATGAGTAACAGAAGAGAGAGCCTAACAGAACCCAGTGGGAGGGAAATGAATGAGCTAAGTGTAGAAGTTATTAAGAGTTATCTGTCAAGAACGACTACGAAGCAAACTTCTCAAGTACTAAAATTATCACAGGTTAATGTTCTGTTTTATTGTGAGCATTGTGATCTCTCAGTTTTGAGACTACATGCCAAACAAATTCTGAGACCTCATTATATAATGAACCACTGCAAATGAACCTGATCTGAAGACTAGCACTTCAACCACAAAAGACCTGCTGACTGTTACACTAATATTTACTTACATACCAGGAGGAAACATGAATGAGCTCAGTGGATACAGAAAAGGTGCTGGCCTGTAATGCAGAAGGTTAGGGGCGCAGTTTTGAAGTGTGAGGCCTTGCTGTGTTTGGCAGAGTGTGGGGCTGCAGTGTGTTTAGTACTGTAGGTCAGGGATAAGAATGCAAGGTTGCACTGTGTTCTCAGGTAATGAGTTAGATTGCTGGGCCATGAAGCACTCAGTAGGTACTGTATGAACAGAAGAAAGATAACAAAACAAGAAGCTATTCTGCTTCTCTATTCGATTTGGCCAGCAGCCATATCACCCTGCATCTCACAAATGGCAACCCACAGAAGCTAGGTAGGCATGAGCCTGGTCAGTACCTGGATGAGAGACCTCTTGGGAAAACCAAGGTTGCTGCTGGAAGTGGCGTTGGTAGGGCCAATAGGGGGGCGCTCACCCTGCAGTCTGTGTGGGTCCTAATGCCCCACTATACTGACAGGAACACAATACTGTAAAAAGGCTCCGTCCATTGGAAGAGATGTAAAACCGAGGTTCTGACTCTCTGTGGTCATTTAAAATCATAGAGCGTTTCTTGAAAAGAGTAGGGGTGTCACCCAGCATCCTGGCCAAATTTTCCATTGACTTTTACCAATCATGGTCTCCTAATAATCCCCATCTATGAATTGGCTTTGTTACTCTGCTCTCCTCCCCACTGATAGCTGATGGGCAGTGAGCGTTCTGGCGCACTATAGCTGCCATCACATCATCCAGGTGGGGCTGCACGTTGGTGGTGGTGGAGGGGAGTCCCATTACCTGTAAAGCAATTTGAGAGGAGGGCCCAGAAAAGACCTATAAGTATAAGGAATTATTTGGTAGTTAGCAGTTAATTTATCAGAGAATCTCATCCAGCTTCTTCTTGGCAGCTAGGTAGGGTATGGTCCTCCACACTACCATATCCCTTTGTATAAAGAAGTGCTGTCTGTTCTCAGAAGTGTGAAGGTTTCAGAGGCCTAAAATCTTATTTGTCTAATTCACCAGTAGTGGGATGAGTTTAAATATGAAGGCCTACATACAAAGTTAGATCTGGGACTCCCCAGCACAGGCAAATGAGTGTGTGGAAAGTTATGTTTGGAGAAGCAGATCATATCTACATAGATGAATTCAGCTCAAACAATTCCCCTGTAGTGGCACATGGAGGAAACGGTCTCTCCTCACATTAAACAGCTGCACACAAAGCAGAGAAAGCCTACAATGGCTGTGAAGTTTTAACCTCTCCTCAGACTACAGTACAGAAGGCTTCCCACACTTTACAACATACCACATAAAATCTTGTGAGGATAATCTGTCCATAAAAACCTCTCTCTGGATTAAACACTTTTAAATAAAAAAGAAACTGTTTTTCTTGAAAATCTAAAAGTATCCCCACCTTCCCCACCATGTTACTGTAATATGTCAAACTGAAGAAAGCCCATGAGAAGGAATATGAATGTTATGCTAATGGAATAAAAGCCAAGCATCAGAGAAAATATTAGTCATCTATATTCATGTAAAAGGGGCTTATGATCAAGTCATAAGCACCAAAACCCACCACCTCTACTAATAGTAAACTACAGTATAGACATTTGATGGGTATCGCTCTTCTGTGGTGTTGATTGCCCATTCATGCTAGAAGGTGATATTTTCTAGTGAATTAATCTGAAGACAAATATGAATAATTTTATGCAACTGAGAATTCTATGCATTCTATGTAAACACACTGTGTTTTAAATTACCTAAATTCAAATTTTAACCGCCAGCTGCTATGACAAATGTGCACTGGACAAACTACTAAACACCACTTCTGGAAACATCTGTACTCTTTCCTATGTTCTCATTAGAAGGCAGAATTGAAAAATATGATGAAGTGCATTTTAAACCGAAGATAGGAGGCATTTCTTTACCCAAAGGGTTGTGGGGGTATGGAGTAAGCGACAACAGATAAAGAGCAAACCTTCAAACAAGCTAGATGGGCCAAACGGCCTCCTCTCATGTGTCCTTCTCAGAAGGTACCAAGACTCGTATGTGCATCTGTGGCTCTCCAGATCATGCGACTGCCTGGGAGGAATCGTCTTTGCACAAAAAAACAGGAAACTGACACTGATCTTCCCTAGCTGTGGCTGCAGGGCTCTGAAAAACATGCATCCCGACACTGCACCCGCTGCCAGCTGGCAGTGCTCCTCTGCAGTACAAAGCTCGAAGGCACAAGCCTGACACATGGCCTGGCAGCCCAACTCCCTACTGCTGGAACCTACTGTCAGACACATGTGAAACACACCTAACATGCCGACTGGGAATATGAAGACAGACATGACACAGCAGGTGTTTTTTCAAAAACAATTGTTGGGTATTTCAGATAGATCAGTTAAGCGCTGGAGCCAAAAAGCACTGAAATTGTGCGTTGCGTTTCTTCTCACGCCGAGCTTTGCGTTGAAGGCAAGTCGCAACACTTCCTATAACGAACACATCGGTACATGTATAAGCAACAGGCCCAGAGCAGCTCAGGCAGGTCAGTCCTCTGTGTGGAGAACAGAGCAGATCACCGCTTAACTGTGCTCTTCCCCACGGGAAGGGTGGAGGAATTGAAATGTTAAATTTCAGAATCCTTCAATTCCTATATGGAAAAGGGAACTGAGTTCATCTTATAAGCAGCAATAATCTTTAAAATTTACATGTCTTATATCCTATATAAATGGTCTGCTTATTTAGTTTACTGATAAGATCTGATTACATAATCCTGTACAAGAGTTACTATTATCCGACACCAAGTCTGGGTTCAAGATGACCATGATGCCGCAGCTCATAAAAATCAGGGATTGAGATGAGTTCACTTAATTGGCCATATACAATTCCTTGCATTAGGAGTTTGTCTTTCCGCATACCCCAGCTTGCTCTCCATGAGAGACAGACACACAGACAGGGAAAGGAGCTTGGGGTCAGAGCGCAGGGTCAGCCATTGTACAGATCCCCTGGAGCAGTAGGGGGTAAAGGGCCTTGCTCAGGGGCCCAACAGAGTAGGATTCCTCTGCAGGCCACAGAATTTGAACCAGCAACCTTCCAGCCACAGGCTCAGATCCTTAGCCACAGTGCCACCGCTCCACCCACTTATTTACAGTTTCTACTAAAGATGGTATTATCTTGTGAGAATATCACAGGGATGGAAGGAATTGTACCGGAGTATTACAATGTTATTTTACACAAATATAATCAGATTCTGTCTGTGTGTGTTGTGTCTTTTTTCTAAACGGGGTGTGCAGGTCTTGTTTTACCGAGGTGCTCTAGCAAGCCTATCGAATTAGAAACTTTGTAATCTCTGCTTCAATTCTACGTTGCTTTCCTATAACAATTTCACAATGTTCTTTAAGTGAGACTATTCACTGCATGTCTGTTTTTATAATCAACTTATTTCTTAGAACAATAAGCTTTTCTTAAATTTCTAACCCAATATATACTCCAGAAATTTGCAATTGAAGTCCTCTATTTTAAATAAGAGGACACTGAGCCCAATATTCTTCTTTTAATTGCTAAAACAGGAACTCAGGAGATTGAGAACCTGGACTACCATTTATCTGCGAAATAGCTGAGCACGTTTACATGGTGTAAAATCAAGAAAATCAGCAATGGAGCCTGATGGTGTCGTAATACCTCACAAGGGAATTTTCAACTTCCTTCACAGCAAAGTTGATCTAACACAGACTGGCCAGCGGCTAGCGTGGGCTGAACTCCGCCATGAACCAGACTCAGACCAGGATTGAAGGGGAACAAGCAGCCAATATAAAACAAGCCTTTACAGCACATCCTACCATCCTTAGCTTCTGGGTAAAAAAATAAAAGTAGTTGATCACAGTACTGTATTACTCTCTCAAAGAAAATGCAATAGTGTACAGGAGCCTCATTTTTAAGCATTGTAAGAGACCATTACGAATAGAAGTGTTCATTACTGAGTGCAAATTATTTGCCATTTTCTTTTTCATATCTTACATTTCAGAAATCTCCTAGTCCCTGTCCAGCAGGCTGTATATGCTATGTAGCCTTTAAATTATCAGTTTTAAGTGATGATTTTAAGGCCTGAAACCATTTAACAATGATCATTTAAACTATAAAGGTGGTGTGTTCACTTAAGTAACTGAATTTAAAGATAATTTGGAAGAAAATCAGAATAACCTTTGGTCATTAAAAACCAGTGTTCCCTCCATTGAAACATTACTTGCTAAACAATTGCTTAAACAACTGTTTCTAATACTAAATAACAGGTGACTTAGGTGACCTAGAAGGATTGCTGCAATGGGACTTCAGATAACTTTTATTAGTATAAATATTTTGATTTTGAACGGATGTCTTTCAGTTTGGTTAATCAACAGTTCCAGTTGCTATGACAGCATTCAAAATACACCTCAATTTCAAAACCATGCAGTCTTGTTTTCACTGTAGTATGAGGGAGCACAGTAAATTAAGATCAAACTAATAAGCCAAAGCACAGATACCTCACCTGTCTCTCTTCTTCAATTAGCTGTGAAGGATGGTGAAAATCCCCTTGTGAGGTATTGAGACACTATCAGGCTCCAATGGCAATTTTCTTGATTTTACAACATTGCACAGGCCCTCCAGCATGCTCTCTGTTTTTATCTGGCTCAGCTATCTGTAGGAGTAGATGATCCAGTCTCTGCTCTACCACCTTATGAAGGCAGTCAGTCGGCACTCTTAGATACAAGGTGACACCTACAGTAGTTTTCACCTAAGGGACAAAGCCAAAGATGGAAGGACTCCCTCCAATGATTTTTCACAGCCCATATCCCAAGGGCACGGGAGTGGGTTCTGGAATGCCATCCAGGGCACCTAGACAGATGTGGGTACAGTGTCTTTGTGACCAGCCTCAGGCGTCTCACACACCAGCCCCCCTGAGGGACACAGGGCACGAGATGCAAAAGTCCATTGTAGGACTGGATAGAACACTACTACAGTCCTCATCAGATCACCCTGCACCTCCATGGTACATAGCCTACAGGGTGACAGAAAGCACAGGCTCTGAGAAAGCAGTGAAGAAAAGGCGATTCTTTTTTTTACCTCGCTGCTTCCTGATGCGACTTCTCCAAGGTGACAGCACAGTGAGTCAGCAGTGACTGTGCTGGAACTTTAACTTCATCTGAAGCTCATACTACTGAACACAGCCTGCTTTCCCATATCACAGAGCATCTATTACCGACTGCAGGCTTTAACACAGACACTGCAGAGAACAGCCTGCTCAGGCTGTACAACAAACACCCATCCTGCAAATACTCCTTCCCTAGAGCCTTAAAATGGAACACACAATCATTATCAAACACTAACAATAGCAGCAATCGTTTTACCCTCCAGAGAACTCCCAACACATACAGCTGCAAAAATGCACAGGCTTAGAATGGACATTTTTGATGACACATTTAAGAATGGTCTGATGTCAACATTTTGTAAAAGAACACAGGGAAGTATAGCCCCTGAGCTCCAGGCCCCTCAGTTGTGGCAATCACAAGCTGCATGTACGGTATAGGATCTCCCTGGCTCTTTTTAGTTGCTCTGTGATACTGTCTGGAACAAACTACTGTAGGTATAAAGAGCTCCCAATGTTTTAATGCTGAGTTAGTGCAGATTGCACGGTAGACAACTCTTTAAAACATCAAACATTACTAAAATAATTCCCATGTAAAATCAATCAAGCAACCTGCCCTTTTCATTTACTGTACCTTCACAATGGTATGCCTCTTGGGATAAAACCAACCTCTGTCCACCTCTTTCACGCCTGCGTCTCATCTCACACCCATAGGACAGGGGTTCTCAGATATTGGCTGAGCCCTATATCCATTGTTTGCTCGCTTCTTAAGAACTACTCCAATTATTACTCAAGAGGGGCATTCAGCCTTTACAAGACTCCTTGCAAAGAGTTCTGACATGGAGCGGGACATGTAAAAATAACTGGTCGATGCATCCATTACTGACTGAGAAATAATCCCAAGAGAACTTTACACCGTTGAGTGCTGTGTCCAAAGCACTAACAAAAAGCTTTAAGTTGTTAAACCTTTTTGAATAGAAAAAGCATTCAGACAAGGAAAACAGATTTTACACAGAATGTATGAAAAACCTCTTTATATAAATCAAGTATGCACTCCTAGTAAAACTCATCTGTAACAACTGTAATTAATATGATCCCAAGACAATGTTTACATGGTGTATTCATGGTCTTTTTTTAACAGTTGTTCTGGAAGAAATTTTAAAAATGCTAAACTGCTAGCTCACAAGGCAAGAAATTGACCAAATGTTTTTTGAGTGTACAAGGGAGTTCATGGACGCTGCATTTTTAAACAAGTAACTGTCCAGGCAATCACATTCAAGTTTACTTCTCAAAATATGATAAACTAAGTGAATTTCGTGCAAAAAAATTACACAGAAAACATACGGGTGACTCAATCATCACTTAAGGCAAACTTAGGTAATTAGTCATGCAAATTACAGACACTACTGTATTTGCAAGCTAACCAGTACTACAAAAAAACTGACCATGAACTGCAAAATAAACTTGTTTTAAACTTTAGAATATTTTTTGAGCACCAATCATGATAATAAACCATCTGTGCAGTGGCTGTAGAAATCTGTACGGTGGCTGTAGAAATAACGGGCTCTAAACCTTTGACTGTACTGTCCAAATGCCAAATCATCCTTTGTTTTAGATACCTTTAACACAGGAGTAATCATACTTTACTTCCCACAAAAACTGCAGGTCTTCCAAGGCTATCAAGACTCCCAGGATGGAAAATTATATTAACAGACTACCACATAGGAACATACAACCAGGTGGTCACATAAAATGTGTACAGAAGCCTTAAAACTACGCAGAGTCATGGTTTTCACTTCTCAAACAGAGGAACACACACAAACAAATCTTAATTTCTATTACTATTAAACTAAAAATGCTAGAAAAGTCAAATATTTTGACAGATGAAACTTTCCCAACCCTGTCATTTTACTTCTAGGAATTACTACCCCATGGAGTTGTTTTGTCAGCTCCTACACTGATTTGTAATATGTACCTTGTCATGGAAAGACTGAAAGAGCAGCCCTTGTCTCTCTCAGCCGCACACAAAGGGAGCACTATCTGGGCCGAGAAACGACTATCTCATTTTTCAGACATCAGAGCTGTATGTCGCCTTGTGTGCACAGCAAATCCCCCAAAGGTCAAAGCTTTGAAAGTAGCTGGTGGGTGTGTGTCAGTCTGTGTGCATGTGTGAGCAGCAAACTTGGGAGTATGCTTCAGTCTGGAAGACAGCATTTTAGTAAAACAGGATAGCAAAGAATAAAAGTCCATGGAAAGGGTAATTAAGTGAAGAAAGATAATGGGAATTTTTACTGAAAAGCTCTGCCTCCCACCAACCCAAACATACAATAAACTGTTTAACAGTGACAGCCAATCACCTGCAATACAGAACAGTTCAGTTACCCGGAAAGGTACTACATTCTAGGGTATGATGAATACACTACATCTTTTCTTCACAATGCTGCCAAATGCAACAAGCAAAGCCAGCAAACATGAAAGAAAACACAAACTTTAAATTAAACCCAAATTAACACTTAAAATGAGGCTTTCTTCACAGCCTGCTGCTGTCTCAACAGAACAGCAGCTGATTCAGGAAGGTGACCCAAGCAGAAGGCAGTAGACAAATATCACAACTTCACAACAAAAGACGAACAGAGAGAAAGAGAGAGGGAAAACAGCTTACCTTTGACTGTTTACTGCAGAAGAGCTACAGCTGACATCGTAGTGCAAAGCCAAAAACCACTGTGAGGGAGAAAGACAAGGAGAAACAGAAAGATTGAGAGAGAGAGAGAAAGAGAGAAAGGACTGGTTAGACAAGAGTGCTGTACTGGCTCTGCACACGCACACACTTGCACTCGCAGCCTTGAAGAACTGATAATTCAAGCCTTCCTCTTCTGGATTATATTTCTTCCTCTAACAAGCAGCCATGTGACCAAAGAGATGACTCAACATTAAAGGACTGAGGTGCAGAATTCAGGCTGACACACACACAGGCAGCTTGTCGAAGACACACACATTCCTACAGAAAGGAACAAGGGTGGCGGGCGACCCAGTAGCAAATACAGACTCGAGAAGATGCAGTTACAGAAATCTTTTACCCCTCGAAACACATGCAACTCGTATTTAAAGCAACCTCAGCAAGTCCTGAATTTCTGGAAAGACACTGGAATAGTCGGGGAAAGTAAAAAAGTCACCTATTAAGTTCTCTGGATTCCTGGAACACCGTAACATTTAACCAACACAAATCAGGTAATGCCAGAAGAACTAACACTTCAGCAAGTGATCCGGGCATACAGCACTCAAATAACCCCACAAAAAGAAGAAAAAAAATCACCTCAGTGACTCATGTAGGGAGGCTCTCAAAATACCATGCTCAATGACGATATAGACATGTAGCAAAGAAACAGCACTCACCCACACCTGTGGTGAGGTGGGACACATTTGCCTTGCTAACACAATATCTGGATATACATCGAGTTTCATTCATTCTCCGGCCCTGTTCCTGCTCTAGTGATTTGACTGCTCTCTCCCCCTCAGGAAGCACTTCCAGGACACAAGACAACCTGCTACGTAACACCAGACACACTGGGAACTTCACACTGAAGTCCTATCCAATCACTTTAAAAAAAAAAGAGGTGATTTTGCAGGCAGCTCCACCATGTCCTATACAGAATTGCAACAACATCTCCTGCCTAAGGCAGTATCACAAGATCACTTCATCCTGAGCCATAACTCTACTGCATTTCAAACCGCACTACCAGGATGCACCTTCACTCTGGCTCCTGCTGCATGAAGAACAAAAAGGGTAATTGTGGGTCTGGTCACATGCCCAGGACCTAACATCAAGGGCTCTGCTGTCACTCTGTGATCTCTTTTGTGCCCTCATCACAGCCAGCACTGCACACAGCCACCACCATCAAAGCAGCTTCCAGCCCTATTACAGCACAGACCCCCCACATTAGAAGAGCTGCACTATGTCTAGAAGTAGCCCTGCTTCAGTAATTCACCATGTATCAATGAAACAGCTTACAGTATCAGGAGTCTGGCCACTGTGGCTATTCCAATGTAAGAAACAGTAAATACTGTATGCTGTAAATACAACAAATGTACAGCTTCTCCAGACGAAAAGACAGACTTAGAAACAACAAATATCATAGCTGCCTATCAGTCAGAAAACAGAACACAGCAACTCATCACCCACCAATGCTCTGATACGATGCGGTGCTAGAGTACCACCATCTGCACAGCCAGGCCTGGCCGCTGGGCGATGTAGTGAAGGGCTAAGGCCACTAGCAACCAAGCCCTGTCTTTAATAGTGTCAGAGGTAAAAAAATAACAAAAGCAAACTGCTGGAGACAAATCCTTAAGAATTCATCTGGACACCTAACCCCAATGATGGCAGCTGGAACATGGGTGAAACCATTGAGCAGGTGCTGGGTCAATTCCAGTCTCTGTTTGTTTTCTCACTGGTCTTTGAGCTGGGCTGGTCAAGAACGTGCTGGAAGATTACAGGAGTTATAACGTAATGGAGTTATAAAGGCGCCTGCATTCCCAATAATTAGGAAGAGACTGCTGATTATAAAGAGTGTCAGAGCCTGCACAGCAGTCAACAGCTATACAAAAGACACACGCCAAGGAACTCCAGACATGATAAATACAACCCACAGCAATTTTTCCTTGCTCTTCGAGGAATCTGACTAACAGGCAGCAGAAGTAACGGCATGGAAAAGTTGTTTATAATTTTGTAACAAATTCTTACATTACGTTGCACCATGCGGTTTTTTGCTGCGGACAGACAGCAAAGTGGAATCCGCAAAATTACCGTACTGCGCAGAGGCAAACACTCAAGAGAAAGGCACAAGGTGGAACTTAACCCGGTTTCCAGCCAGACGACAAAGCGCAGGAGGCGCGCCTTGACGTCATGGCCTGTGAAAGACGGCCGTGTCATTTATTTGGTTGAAACCGCAAGTCAGACAACATGATATCTCAAAGAGTTCAGAAGGTTTTTGGCTTTGTTCTGCACATCCCTCCTCAAAAATATCTTTCTGGGAGAAACTGTCAACAGTCCCTCCGCGCACAGGCCATGGAATCCTACAGCCGAATCACCCTCCCCTCAGGGAAGTTTACTACAGTAAATCTGCGGGCTTTCTGCAGTCTTCCCATGATCATACAGTAAGTACAGGGGGTACTTACTTCATTGTGACATTCCCTGGTGTGTCTACTTTCCCTAGTCACGTTCTGCTCGTTACACAGTTTCAGCGGCTCTACAGCTGGAGTCGTGCAGTAACTCAAAGAAACAAGCTGAAAGGGGAGTAAGTGCTTCTCGAGGGGCTCGTTGCTGCTGGCCTCTCCACCGTACAACAACGTGCTCCCCCAGCTGCCCGCCATGGACATTTCTCCTCTCCTAATAAGTTACGGACACCATTGGGACAGACATTTACACACAGGAGAGTCAGCAGAAGGCGCACATAAAAAAGTAGTTTTTTAAGCCAGTTAATCAAGCCTGGGTAACACATTTCTGCCAGTTCAACCATCCTTTTTTCTAGCCGATTCTTCCAATTCAGGGTCACAGGGGAGCCGGAGAGGCGCAAGGCAGGATACACCCTGGACAGGATGCCACTCCAGGACAGACAGATAAACAGACACACACATACACACCTAAGGCTAATTGTCCTAGAGGCCAATTAACCGACCCGTTTGTCTTTGGCCTGTAGGATGAAACCAGAGCACCAGGTGTAAGCCCAAGCAAACACAGGGAAAACATACAAACTCCACACAGAGTGACATCCAAGTCCAGAACCACTAACCTCTGAGCCATCACGCTCTGACAATTTTCCTTAGAATTTTGTATGTATGTAAATGTGGTCTTTTGAGAAGAAGAAGCTATCAAATATCATTGTGCACATCTGCCTGTTTATTGTACATGTTCATGCCTTCATGCTCATTTTTCCCCAGGAAAATGTGATGTGGTGGATTGACCCCTGTGCCAGAAGACTGATAATGGGGTCACAGCTAGAAGCTGCCAATCTGGCATCCTTTGATGTCAGTGCTTTGTAGGATAGGTTGATAGACTAAGTATGGGTGACTGGTGATAAATTCTACATTTTAGCTAGAAAGTACAGTAAGTGTATTACACAATTTTCATCTGAGAAACTTTATGTTCAGATCTGTATACAGTATAATACTTTTTTCCCCAGTATCCTTCCACTGTACACGAGTTAGAGGTTGCAAGTGTACATGTTGATATGCAACCTGCGCTCAAAACAGAGCATCAAAGTATAAATTATAAATTATATACTCAATTATATAAATTATGACACTCAAGTCCCTTTTTATTTTTAAATACTAACTTTGCATTAATCAAGAAAGGCGAGATTGCATGCTGTAGGTTTACTTGTTTTATTTGCTACATATTTAAAATTACTTTTTACTTTTTTTTAATTGTTTTTAAGGTAGATGGGAAATCAGAGTTATAAGCAGGTTTTTTCTTCTTTCATTTTGTCGACTATCACGTAAAGCTTCAGTGCTGAAAGCTGTGACCACGGCTGATACACCTGAAGGGACTAACAAGCGAAGTTCCAGCAGGCTTGCAGCACCAGGACACCGAGAAACTGGCCAGGCTCACATGACAGACCCACGCAGAGTGAGTGTGAAGCTGTGGGAGAGGAGTGAGGGTGAGTGTGCTGGGAGCTCCACACTGACTCACTCCTCTGCCACAGCAACTTCGACAGAGAGATATTTTAAGGGTCAAGACATTTTTTTTAACACCCCTTCGCCTATCAACAGGATCATGGGACTTCATGACCAAGTAGTAATGACCTCAGAACTGCATCAGTAGTTTAATGTCCCATCTCAAGGATGGCCCCTTACAGATGTCTCTCCCATCACTATACTGGTACATACATTTGGAAACATTGGGTCAGGAAGAGTGCCACCTACTGGTCCATCAACATTACTTACAGCAGTAACCTGATTTTCCTTCACGGTTTAGCAGAAACATGGTTTTCCTACCCCAGTCCTGAAAAAAATATGGGGAGAAGAGGATACTCTCCAGCAGGAAACATTCACAGAGCTTCTGCAACCTGCTTTTGTCCTATAGAACCATTTGTTTCCACCATGTCTTTTCATCGTTCACCTCCGTACTATGCTCAGAAGAGCTGACAGCCAAGTCACAAAACTGAACCGCAGGAAAGAAACACTGTCACAAGGTCTTTTTTCCACACCACCTCTGTCTTCACCTTCCCATCTGGAAGTGTATAAATACCTTTTCAAAAAGATTTCAGATTGTTCCAACTGATTCACATTCCCAATTTTTCAGTTTTCCCCACAATGTGGTCCTCAAGGGTCCATAGTTCCACATTTGGCTAAAACCACGCCAAAACAATCTTGCTGAAAAACATTAATAAAGCATTTGACAAAGGAAAACACAGTGCACAAGCAGAAATAAAATCCTACCATCCCAACACAGCCAGCCTTTAATATACTCAGACTATTTCATTATCCTGACCTCAGAACACTGCATGCTCCACATGCAGCATGACACTAATGCAAAAGAGTAGCAGGCCAGGAGTCTCTATTACTGGGTCTTCTGTTTTTTTATCCATCCGAGTTCTAAGGTGCTAACAGTAAGCAAACTGTTCTGTACTTCATAAAGAGCAAAATTATCTTTAGAGCCCTATAGAAGATAGTTACAGTATAAAAACAAAAAAACTGGACTTTTCAACCACACATGTTGCCATATTACAAAAGCACTCCACATTGACACTGTGGGACAAGGAATACCGAAGAAAAGGCATAGATCAACACAACCATGTACTGCAATTCTACCTTAAACTTAGTCCAGCAGCAGTGTTAGGAAAACAGAAGTGGTATAGGACTCTATACAACATACTAGAAAGCTGTCCCTCAACCTCCGCCATGCACAGACAGCAGAAAGCTTGTAGACTAGCAACTAAGAATCACGCTAGGCATGACAGTTCAGATCCGCAGAATTAAACACATTTTATCTGTGGATTAAAATGCCCAGTCTC